GGCTGAGGCAGTAGAACCTTCAAAGCACAGTTCACCATAATGAAATGGGCGCGAACAGTCAAACAGCGGTTTTTCCTCATAGACGCGTCCTTGCTCTTTCTTCGAAGCCAGTGTGGGCTGGTGGAGAAGGGACAGCGACTGACTGTCCGTTTTTTGAGATTAGAAGTCTATGAATTAGGCTATTCGTTACCAGCAAAAATTAGCGAGAAGTATCTCATAGTTTCCGAATATGTAGGCAAGGGCTGAAAAAATTAGGAAACTAAACTCCGTTCACCTTTGAAGTGAAGGTCGAAAAAGCTCCGAATAGGGAGATGCACAAAGTGAAGAGCGGTTGTATGTTGCCGACAATTTGTGAGGAAGATATGAACAATGAAACCATTGCAGTCACTGCTCTCTTGGCTTTCCCAGACGTCATTAGGTTATCCTTATCTGAAAGAACTATCTTGACGGCACAATCCACATGTTGGTGGGGAGCCACGGAGGCACGATGTCTGACTGTCTCCACCCACACGATCAGCGCGCACTGTGGCAAATAAAGGCGTATGCTCAGGGTACGTCGCACGCTGGTACGCTGGTAGGTAGGGGGGGGGTGGAGATATCGTACCAGAAGAGGTTAGCGGCTAGCTTGCAAAACTTTTTCCCAGCGGCAAGATGTGCCCTGCGTATGCTTTGTCTCCAAGGTCTTTGAAAGTGGTTCTAGGAATGCGACGTGCACTCTGCTTTTCAAATTTATCTTCGACGTCTTTGATACTTACATAGACGAAGGAACGATATGTAGTCGCCGTCGACCATCTCCAATAGGAAGGAGTCGATGGCAAGTCTATTTACCAACATATATAGGAAAGGTATACATGACATGAAGAATGTTATCGCCATAGCGTCACTGAAAAAGAAGCCCATAAAATTGATGGTATTAATGGAGTGGGTCAAACCCTTCAAAAGAGGCCACGTAAAGAAGTCTTCCCACTGGGTGTAATTCATGACACTCAGGGTGTGTCATTGCGTGCAAACTAGTGAGACAATTCCACATTAGACGATGTGGCGTCGCCCGCGACGACATTGACGCGGCGAGCTACGATTTTCTTGTCACATACCCGGAGAGAGGTTGGGGCGGAGCAAGCTCAGCGTCATTCGTCGAGGGGGTCTGGGCCAGACTTCCCAAAAAGTTGGAGTGTCGCCCCACACTCGCTCCTTTCAGTGATGCTGCCGTGGCTTCTTCACCTTCTATTCGAACTTGTGAGCCATTGGGACCCGTTTTTTGTCCAAAGACAAGTTCAGCAATGTAATATTGAAGCGGTAGCTACATTTTCCGGAAAAAATGGAAAAAACAGACATTAGAAGATTGTTATTGAAGCTGTTCTGTGAAGCAAGGAATATCATTCCTCCATGACCGAGTTTCAAAATGATACAAGTCTGAATTAATGACGAGCTGATCAATGAGGAAATGTTCATGTAAAATAGGTAACAACACTGTAATTGAAAACATACCATCATTACGGCAGCAATGCATCCATCCTCCGTAAACGCCTTTTCCCAGCTTTCTGTGAGAGCTTCGGTCATTGGATATTTGGGTGGGTGCAGTCCAACAATTACCAGTATCATCAAATAAGACCAATAACCAAAAAGAGGACGTTCGCCACAGCAAACTAAACTCGTTGTGTTGTTTGAAATGCTTAGAGTAAAACATTGATTTTTTTTCAATCGATCTGCATTAGATGGAATCAATATCCTTAGGATGGGGTGTACATCGCTAGTCCCGAGTGAGTTCGGAGACGGTAAAAGGCCCTCCGTAAGTAGTTTCTCCTTCGCAGCATTCGCTTCAGGATCGCAGCCTTCGCATCAGGACTCAATCGGTCCAATGTGGACTAGTGCGTCTTGTCGGGTCTTCTAGCCTGGAAACCCTGTGCTCTATAGTTCGAGGGCAATGCAGCGACTCGGGACAGGCGATGTACATTCCCAAGCACCTGAAGGATACCGTGCTTCAATTGCAGAGCAGGATCAGCCTTACTTTAAACGATCGTAGGTACTAGAAGTGGGGGCCTACGAGAACATACTTCACTAGCCTCACCTCAGCTCAAATACGGTCATCGTCATGCCGTACTGGGTTGGTGACCACTAGAACTTCGGGTGGGATGCTGGCGCGAAAGGCCAGAGTGCAGTCAAAGCATCGGAAGGTGCAAAGGAACATGTCGCGAGTCAGAAGTTAAGCTTCTTGAGGGTAGGTGGGCTCATGGGCGGGTATGGAGCATTAGTTCCCCGAAGACAAATTGTATACTTACTTCCGGTGACGGTCCTTGCCATGTGCGAGGCATAGGCCTGCAGCTGCAAACAACACGCTTTTTTCTCCACCCAAAAGTGTACGGACGGGAATGTAGGGTTGTAGGGTAGAGGTACCCCGATGCCATCCCTATACCAGCGCTCGCGAGAGAGCAGACATAAGCGCGTTTGGCTATGATTAGGGGTACGGATGGCCATGTGGCAGCGTGGGCGGAGTGTGGAGGTGGTATCCGGGCATCACTTCTCACTACCCCTTATGGTTAGCCCTGTTCCCGAGCACTTTTGACCGGAGAAAGTAACACGCTACTGCAGCTGTGGACCCATTCACCCCATACGCAGCGGTTGCCGGAATCCACGGAGGTGAGTATGCACCTGGCCTTAAAAAAGTGTGGAGCCTGAAACAAACCCATTTTCTGTGTTGTCCGTGGTGCGCTCACGATGCGCGCCTTGTCGTCGCCTCCTGGCACGACAACCGTCTTGGTTATTCGGTGGGGTTAACAGATCCGGAAGAAGGAACAAACACTTACAGAAACGACCCATTCACGGCGATAGCCTAGGATAAGTACAGCTGCACTGAATGCGAACATACTACAGAAAATGTCGCCGTTTGGTGGATAAGTGCTTGTGGTGTAGTCCAAATTGAGGCCAGACACACTGAAATGCTATTAAGGATTGAGGATTTCGGAGAAGATGAATTCTACTCACAAGTAATCGATAACTGGTAGCGATAGCAGCCAGTTACTTTTCCGATCATATCTCTTATACATGGCTCGCATCTTTGTTTGAAAGCATGTGTCACCAATGGAACTGAAACATTATAGATGAGTGACTGATTGTGTAAAGGATATGTTCTTCCCCCCCCCCCTCCCCCCTCGGTTCTAACGGCGATTTTGGCGCAGCTCGGCTTGGGGGGGGAGCTCGAGACTTCCGCTATTTCCAATCGTCGCGTTCATTGCTTTACAAGAGTTGACAGGTATTCTTCATAAGAGCAGAGAACTGGTATCTACAAACATTAGTAACAGTAGCACTTCGTGGCTCCATAGATTCAGCAATACTTTGGTTAGCGAATGTGCCCCCCAAGCCGAACTGTGCCGCGATTTCTTTAGAGGGCTGAATACTCTATAACAGTAGGTGGTGGCGATGGCTTACGTGTAGACGTTCAGCATGGAGTTGAAATCTCCTGCATACGAAATTGGCCCAGAGTCCGCGTCGAAATCGTCCACTGGTGGTAGCTTAGCAGAGCATTTGCGTCTTAATGACGTGCACTCTGAAAACAGCACGAAATCGCAGAAGAACGGGTGACCTACGAAACGTAAACTGATTGCATGGAAAAGGTTGTGTGGTTTGCAATGAACGACTTTGTGCCAGTTTCGTAGCTGTAAGGTAGGGGCGCTGAGGCGGAAAGTTTCTCCAGTGACACCTCCTTCACTCCAGTTACTCCGCCTCCAGACTCTGCCTTCGAAAACCGCTCTTCAGCGAAAAACCAGACAACCAGCATAGAGTGAAAGCTCTCATTGTCTATTTAGGAATTCGTAGGGCTTATTGTAATGAGTGACTGGCTGGACTCGTCCCAACACGCGGTCCTTCACCCTGAAAACTCGTGCATGAGGCCTAGAAGGGACCTATTAGAGCACTTCTTACAGCATCTTTCAAATTTTGTCCACACTGATTAGCACCTTGGCAACTACTCTTCCAAGTTTCAACATGAGACCTACGTTTCCTAGAGCGGACCGTGCCTTTGGAAGAACACGAGAGTTTGCCACCACAGTTGGATTCCGCGCCCGAAGTCCCTCTTCGTCTTGTTCTTTCTTTTGAAATAAGATATGGTGCTGCGATCTCTCTTGTTAGTGCACTTTCGCGTCATCTCGTCATCTGATTCTCTTTGTATGGATCAGTGTTTCTTAGACGAATGCCCGTGGGATGCTCAGCATTAGAGAGGTTTCTCTAGAAGATTCTCGACAATTCTTTGCTTCTTTCTTCACTGCTTACTCTATTTCAGACACTCTTCTGGTTCTGAACCCTCAATTCTCACTATTAGTCACCGCGGACTGCGTTCTTTATAATTTTATCGCCTTAGCTTGGTAGAATCCTCACCACTCAAGCAAAGCCTTACTCGCAAGCGGATGGGTAGTGGCTTGCATAGAGTGCACACCTGCTACTTCCGCTTGAGAAGTCAGTTTTGGAGTTCATCCACATGAACGATTTCCGTAGCATTCGAAAATGAGAAGTATGGCCTATTATGATTACCGCAGCGCGACTGCCGATGCTCTTCACTTTCGAATGCTTCTTTCAGGCCGCCTATAGTCAATATCGTCGCACTCAGGCGGGCGGTGTCAAGAGGCGTGGAATGAACCATTAGCAAAGGTGTGCATTCCACCAGTGGCGGCCGGTTCATGAAGAAAACAACCATGGCAGAAGGAAGCGCGAGCGCGCTCAATTCCATGCTTCCCGAGATCGCCCAGCAGGACGATAACAATCTTCGAACACAGTTTGGAGCGACTTTACACAAAATAGTCTTGTTCGCTGCAAATGATGGGGCGTGTTGGACAGGATGGACATGGCGCGTCGCCAAAACCGTCTTCCTCCGGTTTCTAAAGCAAGCAAAGCGACAAAACTGTCATTTATCAGTCGTTTTTCACCAATGGTTGTCGCTTACTGCTTTTGACAAGCTAGTGCAAGAAACGAAGGTGGCGCCGTGTCTAAATCAGTGTCACCGACACATCCCCTCATGCCGCCCGCGAATAGTGTGCAGGATACTGCAGCTATAAATTACCTTCGCGATTTTCCATGTGTAGACATTCTAGCCATGGTAGTTTGTCAGCGAAAATGTTGATTGAGTCGAGGGTTGATAAGAACATTATTATCAATCGATGATGGTCGATCAAGCAACAGAGGAATAACGTGATTGTTGACGAGACACCAATCCCTGGAATGTTTGGTTATAGTCCTCCTTTGTCCTGAATTTCCAATGCCCCCCTTAGTCCAGAACTCTCAATTTGGTGGACAATTCCCATGAGGTGATTGTGAGGTTGCACCTGCACAACGTGCTAGGATAAATCTTCCTTGCACCCTTCTGGCTTCTCAACATTAGACTCGTCTACAAAAAGAGAGCCTATGCCCATTTCGTCACTGGAAGGGCGCCAGGGATCTGTTTTGCTCTTGAATCCCATACATCGCCTCCTGTCCTCTATCCTCACTCTTTCATTCTCTCGTCGTCTGGTCTCTCTTACAGGCGCCTGATGTTTCATTCGCTTCAGTTCCCTACAGTTCCCGAAACTGACTAAAAAAAGCAATTCCTAATTCAACGAGTCCTCAATGGGGGAATCTTTTCAGTGCTGGCCATTCAGCAGTTACAGTTCCATATTTGAACCCCACTATCAAATTTCTGCAAAGCAGGAAGGTGCCATTAGACATCTTTAGCAATGAAAACCCACCAACACATATTGGAGCTATTCGATCGAATATGGTAAGAGCACTTGCATGAACGTATTGTCCAAGGGCAGCTTCGAGGTAAAGCAAGGGAAATCCGATGAGACCCATACAGACTATATACAGTATCAGCCAATATACTGAAATAGAGAATTATTTTTGTGATGGAGACCATTCTAAACGAGCTGGAGCGCTGTCAAAACCGCAGTGAATGTCAGTGATTAGGAGGCTATGGAGTACATTGCAGTCATAATCCCTGTAATGATAGAGTCTAGGAGGCGGCATGGCCTGGAGCGCAGCCAGGGCGATTTTCTTAGCACCCGTAATGGTCTCAGGATCGCATTGTTGTTGGAATAAAACCGCCCTGGCCGGGCTACAGTGCGGTGCGCCGCGTCACACGCCCCACCGTTTATAGGGATCATGACTGTTTTTTTATCAAGTTCACCACTAGGAAATCGGTAGTTGGTCCCACTTCACACGTTTTCGACAGTGTCTACTATCGCTAACGAGAGCATCCAGTAAATATGTAGCTACAGCAGGTCACGTTTAATTTGATACCCATATCCGTCCATTTCGAGCTGCCTGCTTCGATCCCCCTCGTAGCCTGTTATTTCAATCTCGAATATACAATCCACGACGACTGGATGAGCGTGGCCAGGCCTACGATTGTGCATATGTACCTCATTGGTGCCACCTGCCTGACATTTCGGTAGAGGAAAGCAGCGGCTGTTTAAAGACGCTGCGCTCGCTACAGTCGGCCTGAATTCTCTCGCTCAATCCAAGGTCGCCGTGCGTTGGGAACCTTCAGCAAAAGGATATTTGATAGCTAGAGGCAGTGGGAGTCGTATTATTGCCGCTTGAAGAAATGTCTCCCTTCCCTCCGTTCAACGGCAAATTTTTGTGGAAAAGTGGATGAATTCTTGGCAAAAACTCTGAAAAGGTGGTAGGAAGGTGGAAAAATTTGCGAAGATAGTAAGAATGATGCGGGGGTGGAGGGGCCGCCAGAAAGGGGAATTTGGGGGGTCCTATTTTACAGAAGTCCTCCTAAGGAAGTACCCTGGCTCGATCAGCTAAACTGCTGCTTTGCTGATAAACGGAGCTTCAGTGCTATGTCACAAGCCAACAAAAGAAAGAAGATTTCTCACCTCCATAGGTTTTCACATTGAGACTGAAAATTGTAAGCGAATCAAACGTGGCCAGATATGAAATGACCACGCAGTAGAAACCAATTTTTTGCCAACGGAATGATTGACGTAATCCTATTCGGCTCAGTATACCAACGGCTGTCTAAATGTCAAAGTGATGGCTTGAATACTGAGTACTTCATGCATTCATTGAAATTGTACTAGCGAAACTATGCACGTTCTGCGAGAGCAAAGAGCATTTACAGGCGCGTTTTGTGCAGGTCGCAGAGGCGTAGTCGTATGGACTATTACTTCTTTCCCATTGGTGCGCTCCTCCTCATTTCCAGTCCATTAGGATGGAGTCACTAAAGGCAATGGGCACTATGGCTGGAGGCGGACGGTTGTTGGCAGCCTCAGCGGTGGAAAAACTCTCGACAGGAAGTTTGACCATTCCTCACTCAACCCTTCCACCAATGATGTTGGCGACAATCGCCCGCTCAGCCATCGTGCCCATTCTCTTCGAAGAAAGTGACGCACTGTCCAAGTGACTCCTCCCTTACGATTAGAATGGGGGCGCAGATCACGACTAATAGTGAGTGGAGACAGGGCACGTCCTTGATTTGGGGAAAAATTTTGCCAAATATGGCCCCCATCGAAATTTCCTCCTATGGCCCAATCTCTCTCCCCTCTCCTCGCCATCCTTTATCCTACTTACCACCAATAACGCTGGCAACAACCACCCTCCCCATCCATCATGTCCACTGTCGCTGGAGAATATGAGGGGACCAAGTAGCTGAGTAGAGACAATGTACTTCCTGCCGTTGAGGGTAAATTCAGAAAATTACGCACCCCGCCCCCCCCCCCTCCCTTCTCGAAGTTTCTTCCTCCGGCACGATTTTCACCCCTCTCCCTCTCCCTATCCTATCGAGCGCCTTCCTAAATCCGCAGTTGTGTCGGTGAAGAATCCTCTGAGCTGGTACATTGCAGCAAAGGGTGTGCCACATTCAGGATACAGCGACGTTGTGTGAAACACATGGAGAGGGGGTGTATTTGGTCGTTGTTGGGAGAGGGATCACCGGGACCCTCCTTCGAGGGGAGGTCGTACTGACATCACCATTTCACACATCATGATGCTGTACCTGACGATATTTGTTTCTCGAAAATATCAAACAACAGCAAAAGGAGTCCAGGTCCTTACGGTCCATGACTGTGTACCCCCACTGCTTACTCCGTTACCCTAGAGGCCCGCGCGCAACCGCTTCAAGATGCCGCTATTAATTAATCGCGAATTTGTTCTTTGATGGACAATCAGCACGTTTCTTATTTTAACCCAACTGAACATAAATTTTTGCGTAGATTAACTTGTGCGTGGACTTAGGAAAAGCCGAAAGCAATCCATTTGAAGTTTTGATTTCTAATGACTTGTGCGTGGACTTAGGAAAAGCCGAAAGCAATCCATTTGAAGTTTTGGTTTCTAACTCTGAGGAAAAGCGCGAACGACATCCTAGAAGTGCAAGCGCAAAAGCATGAGAGAAGAAGCGAGTGAGTTGATCATTGTGCTCTGATGGAGCCATTTGACAGCGCGCAAACCAAATGCTGGACAATTTTTGCGCGCGGCTAGCGGCGGCATAATGGTACGAATTGTTCCCCCAGTTCCAAAGTAGCCCAAAGTTCGGTGAGAGCATAGCATCACCTTAACGAAGACTGTTGGCGTGAAGGTGGTCAACACTGGGTATTCGCGCGGAATTCATTAAAAGCATGCTCCATTTTCTTTCGATGATTAGACGCCTTCTTTTGGCATGGTATTCTTATTCGCAAGTACAAAGGATGCACTACATTCGCAGCTCGAAAATATGTGAGGAAGGCGTAACCCGCTCGCGACGAAGGCGCTGCCTCGCCCGCTAGCCAAGGCCACCCCGACATAACGGCTTTCTGGTGCTGCGGTCATTGGGAGTGTGAAAAGACCGTGGTAACTTGCCACGCTTATGTGTGTAGCGAGTGACGCTGCGCCCAGCAAACGAGTTGCCCCGTCGGCCGTTCGGATTTGAATGTGTAAAGGACGGGAAAATTGCGTAGCGCCCATCACAGCATCTTGTCTCCACTTAAATCCATACAAGTTTGACTGCTCCTACAAAACTGACATACATTTAGAAGTGGCCGTGCACTGCAGGACGATATGATGTGCGAGACGACGCGACAAATTACGATCGTCTTGTCCGTCTGCCGCAGTCATTCCGCTACCAACTCTATCGATACCGAATGGTGAGGCAAAGGGATAAGAAGAACGAGCTGAGCCCTGCAGGTGAGAACCCGTCCAACTGAGCTTATTTTGCCTCGTTCTGAACAAGGACGAAATCATGCCATTTACCAGCACCCCTCTCTGCGGAAGAAAACCAATAGTTAATATGCCCGCTGGTGGAGCGGTCGAACAACGAATTCTGAGGCAACAGAAGATGTTACCGCTGTTTGGGCCCCTGTCGATATTGGGTTGCGTAAAGGACGTGAATTCGATTGCCACTCCAATCGATTATACATACTTTAGTTCGCTGCGGACGGAGGGGCGTGCTTGACAGTATGAGTGTTCCTCACCGCCTAACCCTTTCCTTGCCAGTTGGTGAAGCGGGCACGGAAGATCAATTGGTAGGAAACGAATGATGCCAAATATACGGGGGGGGGGCGGTTGGGCATTACAAATAAAGACTTGTTTTCTTCCTTGCTACTTTCCCAGGTGCCTATTAATTGCACATTTACTGACATCCTTATTCGGACACTCTCTACACCATAGTTAAGGAGACATATTACGTACTATCCACGACATACTCGGCCACAGCCTCGCTGGAAGGGGCTGCCATCGTGCCGCCACACACGCGACGTGCGAGTGGGTGTGCCTGAGTTCAGCGATGATCGTTTGATTTCTCCGTCCCTGTAGACACAACCCTAGTCCGAACTCCGCATCCGAACCAGGGTAATGGCAGGGCGGTTTAGATGCAGGTGACTCTGCTAGATATTCCACCTTCTTCAGGTACTCAACGCCCTTCCATTTCAAGTAGGCAAGAGTTTTCCCAACGCCCTCTGATTCCATGTGATGTCACCCAATCCTAGTGCCAGCACAAAATTTCAAGAAGCGTAGCATGGGCGACGACATGTGGAGAGGATATTCTTCTTTAGTTGCTCGATGTAACCGCCAGCGCTCACCTTCAATTCGGAGCCCACGAAGAAAATATCGGTCTCTCATTCCAGGTGCGTCCGGTCCCCACCATCAACTGGCGCCTTGGCGACTGAGGTGAAAATGATGTCCTGGACCGTAGCGACGTTGTCGGAGTTGCTTGATTTGGAGTTTACTTCCAGATCGGAGAGTTATGCTCTCCAGGTAGTTATAAGTGGGTGACTCCATGCTAGAGGTTTCGCACCTGTTTGGAAGTGACATACGATTTTGAAGGTCTTCTCCAGTCAGGCTGCGACTGGAGATGACTTCATATTTTGGTGTACATGAAGGTGATGGGCCAGATCCAGTTCCTGCTTATCGAGGAGCATCTTGGGTATCTTCCGCCCTGGTACTCGTATCACATGGGCAGCCAAAACTTTGCTGATATGTGACTCGGTCGAAATGTCTTTTTTCGTCCGAACGCTCGACCGAAGCGCTGCTGTCGCGAAGTATGAACGCTGCCTAACTAATACACATTGCGGACTTGCTGCGCATAGCCTCGATAGCCGCGCGACGAAGCGACATATCACGATTGTCCTCTCCGTCTCTCCTGCTTTCCAGGCCAAGGAGCTAGAAGTGTGCTGTCCCAAGCACTATCTCCTTCACAGGGTGTCGCCGTCGCGACCACGCGCTCAATATCTACGACTCGTGAACACGTACGCTCCAAGGGCTTTCCAGAGATGTCAAAATGATGAAAAACCTGTTCAATGCCAAGGACAAGAACTATCCGAAATCTTTGCTGCTCATGAACTCGGAACGGTGTCAAAGGGTTACCATTGTTTCGTATTCGTGATGCTCCTTCGTTAGCAGTACATCGATTGGTCGACTGAGGCAGCAGTCTTCTTTCTGAAGGTTCGGCAGTAATTCCAACCATCGTCCAGGCACGCTCGAGCATGTGGGGGAAAAAATCTGAAATTCCTTGAGTTTTTTGCTGGCTGCGCAATAAGCCGAAGTTCAGGCTGGCACTTCTGTGATTCCCTAATAGTTGCTTGAAGGATGCTGTTGCTGAAACAGAATCTTGTCAAAACTGACCTTTACCGTAAATTCACAATCTTCCAGGTGCGTATGCAAAGAATAAGCCCTACCAGTTTCACCTTGATGATGCGTGAATACACGGCTGGAGGCGAATATATCCAAAGGATAGCAAGAGCAGCCTACCACAGCTGGGGAGACGGAAAAGAGAATCGCAATTTGCCGCACCGTCGCGCGCGACGCGCCGACAGCCGATGAGCGCGGGAATTTCAAACTGTGCGTCGGCTTCTCGATATGAGCAGCGCAACTCGTGGGAAATGTTGCATATTTTTTGTTTCTTTTCCATATTTTTTGCACATATTTCACGTGTTTTTCGCCATTTCTTTACCACCCTGATTGTGCCATAAAGCATGAAGAACTCAGTAAGAACGGCGCTCACGGCTAGCGCATTTAGTGACATCCTTTCTAATCCCTTTCTCTCAAATTAGAATGACTAGGCCGGTGAACACGTCGCGCGGCGTCGGCGGCAATGCTGGCCAACGCGGCAAGTTACGATTCTTTTGTCATATACCACCCCCCCCCCCCTACAGGGATGCTGTAGATGCAGTAACGCTAATTCCTGTTCAATGTTACCCCGATGCCCGAAAACCAGTAAGAATCACGCCAGATTAAGAAATCCCCCATTTTACGGAGTTGTGTTTGTCGCTGGTGTATTTGGTCGCCGGTGGCAGGGAAACTTCGTGTTTGGCTTTCGCAGAATATATATTTGAATGCGTAATCCACGAAAACAAATTCCTGAAAAGGTACTTAGGGTTGCGCGGCACGGTTCTGTCACATTTTTTTCGAACTAGGCTTTCTTTTTATAGAGAGGCGTACAAGATCAAAATTATACAGCAATTATACAGTATAACGGTTATGTCCGAGAGGTAACTAGCAGTTAGAATGAGCAATGTCTGGGGTACACCGGTGCAGGGGAGAGCCATCCAGCTCTTTTGCATGAAGTTCGGCTCGAACTTTTTTGGGACAGAGGGGGCTGCACCATCACGTTGAAGACGACTGTGCGGACGAATTTCATGTGAGGGGTCAGTGCCAAAGGTAGCGGATAACATTCTTGTTCATATTGCACAATAAGGAGAAGCAGGAGTCAAGCCAGTGATACCAATAGAAAGACCATTCGATGTATAAGTGCTCACATTACCGGTTAACGCTCTTCAGGTAATTAGCAAATATTTTGGGTTCAAAAATATATGACAGAACTTTCCCGCCAACCTAATACTTGGGAGATTAAGGAAACCGCTGAGAGAATTTGTTAAGGTATACTGCGCGTAGATGGTGAAGGGGGGCGGGGGGGTGGAGGGGTCGTGTTTTGTAGAAATTTTTCTCAACGGCAGGACGTGAATCGAACCCACTGCACAATTAGAAATCATCCGCCTCACGCTGCAAGAAGGGACGCTAGCGATTGCGGCGGGTAGAGGGTACAGCATCGTGAAATGGCGGTGTTCTGCAAAGAAAAAAGCTCCTCATCTGGCTTCCCTCCCCATCCTACCTACCGTCTCCCTAAGTATTCCCAAC